GGGCATACTGGTTATACTGTGGTTGTGTATCTAGAGGATCGTATTTGGTGCGCTTGATACGCAGATTTTGTGTATGTGTCTGTGTGTGTGTGTGTTCTCGCGCGCGCACTCGTGTGTGTGTGTGTGTGTGTGTGTGTGTGTGTATATATGATGCGCGCGCGCATGTGGGTACATGCGAGCGTGTAATATCGATGAATGAATCCTGTTGCGCAACCCGGCGGCTTTATCGTAAAGTAGTCAATAAGTGCTCCGTGGCTGCATTTGTCAGTTCTGTTGAACCGAGTATATCTGCGTTTAGAGCATTTGCAAGTTTACTGTCGCGGTTACGAACCACGCTCGAATCACAATTGGCCCATTTAACTGCCGTGACGTTTGCGATCGGAGCTATAAATTTGGGGCGTAAACGCGATTTTCTCACATGCCGAGATGCACCGACGTGTTCCGTGACGGTAGTGTCCCTCGGAAAGTCGTAGTTTTCAAGCGACGAGGCGAGCGATCGATAAGATTGAAGTAAAACAATTGCGAGAACAGGCGTGGTGGAGTGTATGGTTCTGGGTAGATTATGTGGTATGTGGCATCAAAGACAGGTGAATGTGTGGGGATGAACTGCACGGATAGTGCAAAGTAAAGGTGGAGGAAGAGGAAAACATGGACGCGGAGGGTTGGGAGGCTGGAAGGGAGGGAAAGGACTGTGTCGATGGGGGTGGAAGGCGCTGTTGTTGAGTCGGTCAGTCGGTGTTGAGACTTGTCGAGGATAACTTTACGAGCGTAGTTGCCCAGTTCAATGGTTTTGTGTGATAAAAATGTGGACATATCAGGGAAATTTAAATAAAACAAAAACTAAATATGACAGAGGCGTGTGACTCGGACGAGTGAGTATGCACGAACATCAGTTGCATCCTCGTGCCGTCGTATCTATATATATACATACACGTCTCCGCGACCATTTCATTCTGCAAACGATACACGCGTTTCTTTGTCGCGTCGTTAATTTCACCATCGGAACGATATCAAATATACGTGTCATTCGAACATTCCTCCATCCGATTTATGCTTTCCATCGTTTTTTCTTCGTCTCGGATCGGTCTCCTCTTTTCCCTCCCTGTTCTCTCTTTCATTTCATAGACATTGCGGATAATAGAATAAAGTAATCGTAGTGTTTCTCGAACAGTTTCTTTCTTTTTTCTGAACGTCTCGAGTCACGGTTACCACGGTTTATCACATGTTCTTCTCTGTTCCCTGTTCTTGTTTGTTCCTACGTGAATTTTCTTTGTTTTTCTATCTCCGTAGTTACATATCTATTATAACCATTTTTAACTCTCCCCCTCCCCTCTCTCCCTCCTTTTCTCCATCCCCCTCTTTCTCTCTCTCTCTCTCTCTCGTCCCTTCCCTCCCCTTCCTTTCCCCTTCCAACCTAATAGTACATTATCTAATGTTCGTGTATAAACAGCCGTTCATTCATTGAATCGACGTGGGTGTGTGTAACATCTGGCCAAATCGTCATAGCGATTGCGTTTTCTCGAGACCCACGGAAATATTGAAATCGTGTAATCTCAAACGAGACTCCAATCTCGTTCGTGTAAATTGTATAATCTCGATATTTTTGAAAGTTAAAAAATCGCGGCCCGTAAGAATTCGCATGAGAATATCCATAAATATATGTACATCTCACGATTATATTATATATCGAAAACGTTTTTGTAATAATATCGTAATATCTTTTTTTAAGTAAACCATTAATTTTCTATGTAACATCACTGCTGCATTCTATTGGAATTAGAAATGCTGGATCTTCGTGCTCAATGATGTTTTTGTGCGTACACCTATTCAATATAGCCACCCAGTTGTATTTAATCGAATGTGACAGGAATTTAATAAAACTCTGTTATAAATTGTTGTTTGTTATAAATGTTGTAAACTACTATGATATAAATTGTGTTCTAGTGTCTACCTTTGTGTCATTGAAGAGGACCGCATAAGAGGGTCGAAACGTCTGATGATGTTAAATAAATTTTGGAAACTAATAGAATACCTATTACTTGAATACACGCAAATATCACCTAGCGCCTGGCTCTTATTGCCCATTATATATGACTTTAGTAACTAGTTTAATAAAACTCGAAATATGAGTAGTTTGAACCGAGTAAAGAGGATTAATGCGTTACGAGATACAGCTCTTCTGAAGTAACGTACGACGACATGTAATAGTATAGTATTTATGACAATAGGTATTCGCTGGCGTATTGCGGAGTGGATATATTTGTCCCCTTGACGTATACATTTTAAAGAATTAAACCAAATTATTAGCTAAAGACAATTTCTCCATAAGACGTCACTTCCGATGGTAGCTAGAGGCTTTATCAAATTATACATACATAATAGCCACTGCGCGTCGATGTCTTTATCGGTGTTGGAACACAGTATGCAGCTAAAGTCAAAATAATATACCTAGTCAAGTTAACTTAATTCAATATTGATGCTAATTAAGCATCAATAGACTGTAAATAGATCAGAATACCTTTCTCGGATAGTAGCGAGGTTCAAATTTATATCCTGGCCTAAATAATATTTTTTGCAACAAATTATTTACAGATTATTTCTACATGATGCTCAATTAGCATCAATGTTAAAGTGATTGTTGATTTAATTCGACATCCTATTTCTTTAGCTGTATACTGTGTTTTCAAATCGATGTAGGTATCTGCGCGCAGTGGCTATGTTGAATAAAGATTTAGACACAAAGATCCAGCATTACAGTCACAGTATGTTTCTATTATGTAAAGTATATATTATTTTACTTTAATAGACAAGCGTACATGGACGATAAATATGTATAATAACAACTCATTTTTGTTGTTTGCAGTCCTAATGAACTCGTGAGGGTCAATGCCCAAGTAATGACAAGAGATGAGAGTTCCGGCTGTTGGATTCCTTTGGGCGGCGGTGGATTGGCGAGTGTCGCAATCATACGTAGAGAAATTTCTCCAAAAGTACATCAAATAAACAACACCGATGGAACCACTAGTCCTATTACAACCAGTCCTATGCACTCCACCTCTAATGCAGCAGCCAGTGGACTTCAGAGCCATGAATCTTCCAACGTCTCCCCGCCTAGCACAAATAAAAGAAAATATGAATATTTCATTTGTGGGGAACATAACACCGATGAATCAGTAGGCAATTTTATAAATATTTTATTATTTAAGAGACGTGTCTAACTGTATACAGCTTAAATCGTAGCTTGTACTGTGAAATCTATCACATAAATATTTGTATAAGAATAAATCGTTTTTTTTTTTCAGGTTTTTCTTAGGTGCGCGATTAAAAAAGATTTTGAATATAATCTGATAATGCCAACTTTTCTTCACTGGCGGTCAGAAGGACAAGTATTTGGTTTAACATTTGTATCGACTTCCGACGGAGCACAGTTTGACGGTGGTGTCCGCGCAGCAATTGGAGAACTATGGGAAGGTATAACATTTTGCTGAACAAAATAAATTCAAGGGATTATTATTCAAAAATAATTATTAACATTAAAAAGTTGCATTCATAATGCGCATCATAAGTTTTCAAGTACTGATTTGATCCATTTAGTTCGCTCTTTCTTTCCGCACCTTATTTCTCGTTTTGCAGTCTCAATTTATAGAGGGAAGTCCTCTATTATGAGATAGGATTCTAATACAATATAGCAGATTTTGAACGTCCAAATTCGATCACAAATCTCTTTTCACTACGATTATATGATCTAACAATCAACATTCCACTAAACAGATTTCACTACAAGGACAATAAATTCACGATGGAACCAACAGATGACGTCTGTTAGTAGAAACTCCACTATCTCATAATAGGAGACTCCTCTATTTATCTCGTTTCAATTGAAAGGACATGCAATATAGCTACGAACAAATACTATCCCTTACAGAAATGTATTAATTGGGAGTGAAAAGAGCACTGAATAATTACTACGGTCCAGTAATTGAATTATTAGGAATTACTGATGTACACTAATTTTCTAGTTATTATTTCGCTTATATTTCTGTAAGAGATATGGCGTACATTAGGATCTTTTGCTATATAGAGTAGATAACAAGTATATTTCTTACCATTTTTTTTCCTCTTGTGATTACGCAGACATTCTACCTTATCCATATTTTTAATAGTAATAAAATGTGGGTTATGACATGTATTATAATGAGCTAAGCTACTAAAGTGATACATCAAAGTTCATTCATATTGTCACAGAGTAACTCTATAATATATCACAAGACTCTTACAACATTCTATCAACTCTTTCCACTAATCATTTTGCTGTAATTTATTACGGATTGCGCGAATAGTGAGCTCAACAGTTTTAAATTTGTGTTTCATCACTCTTTACTTTCGGTAAGATCTTATTGAGAAATTTTATTTTAATGCGATAGGTGTGTCCGATTTGACGTTAACTACCAATGTTCAAGACACTGGGGATGACGATGTTTTTATGGTAAAAAAATTAATTTTTTCTATCTATTAATTTTAATCGAAGAAACATTTGTTATGATAAAGGTGCAAAGTTACGGTGAAATAAATTGAAAGTAAAGAGATAGAGCAGTAGTTTTTATTAAAATTATTAAAAATTTACAGACTTTGGATTTGCCAGTGGAACCACCTGAGCCGCGCTCCTCTTTGGGCACACCTCATGGAATTCGAGTACCGAATTATTCTCAACCTTCAGAGCTTCCCGACTCGTACCGATCTATCCATTATATCGGTGGATCTTCCATTAAGGTTACACCACCACATCCTCTTGCTTCTGCCGCAGACATCGAATTAGACAATTATCCCTACGTGCAGCTTACGACACTTAATCATGAATATCTGTATCCTAATATTGACGAACACAAGGGTGAGAGATTAGACGGGCATAATACTTCTAACAGCGGAAGTTCTCTGAAGAAGCCAGATACAATAATATCGCAACCGTCGAAGAACACTGTAAAACGCAACGTACGTTTACGTTGCAAGCATTGTCACGAATTGTATTCGGAGCAACACAATCCAAAAGGTTCCTGCGAGTATGCTCCTGATCCAATTAGGCGTGGAATTGCAACCATATCCTGTTTGTCTTGCGCCCAATGTATGCTGTATCACTGCATGAGCGACGCCGAAGGTGATTTTGCACAAAATCCTTGTAGGTAAGTACAATATTTCAACTATAGGTTGGACAATTTGTATCTTTTTAGCTCTTAGTTTTATTACTATTACTTATTTTATATATTTAACTTAAATACATACATATGTATTATATATACATATATGTATATGTATACAGGGTGTTAAAAAACATTCAATATTTATATGGTAGATAGGACACACTATACTGAATGAAAAAACCTAAATAAACATAGATAAAAAACTCAACCGTTTCTGAGATATAAACATTTTTGTATGTTAACATCATATGACTGACTTACTGACTTATGTCGCATACGACATGAGAAGAAGATCATCCGTCTAAATTATTATCTTGATATTTACAGAAGGTGTTCTATAACATGTTCTTCCGTTTCCATACACACCTAGCATCTTCTTACAGAGTCGCAAACTTTCTCAAAAATTCCAGGTCTCTATCGAATTATTTGACAAGCACGCTGGATTCGGTCACGTAATTCTTCTAAGTCATTTATCGGCGAAGAATACACTATACTTTTCAAATATCTCCATAAAAAGAGTCCAATGGATTAAAATCAGGGGATCGAGAGAGAACATCGCATGCGACATGTAGAAGCCTGTAATGTTTATATCTCAGAAACGGTTGAGTTTTTGACCTATGTTTATATAATTAGATTCTTTTTACTCAGTATGATGTGTCCTATCTACCATATAAATATTGAATGTTTTTTAACACCCTGTATATATACCTATACAGGGTGCTCCCGGGTTAAATGGCCAAACTTGAAAGATGTATTTAGGACCTCAAAGCAAGAAAAATTTTCCTCTGGAAATATGCTCATAAACGTTCCGTTCAAGAGATATTGACGTCTGAAGTTATGAACTTTTAGGAATTAATAATTTCGAAATATGACTATTTCTTTGATTTAGAATTCCTTGTCTGGTAAATATTTCCAGCTTCATCTGTCCATAAAATGTTTTGCGAGAATTGTAAATCATAATTTGTTTGATTTAAAAACCAATCGCAAAACATACAGTACGACGGAACTTTGTTTACGAAATCGAAGGTCCCTACAGTACGATGTAACTTTGTTTACGAAATCGAAGGTCATTGATAGGCTTTTATTTGCATGGTAAACAAAGCGTCGTATCATCGTACTTAGTTCGTTGAATGCTTTCGTCGAATAAACTGGTATGAAGTGCCTGTTAATGATCTTCAATCATTAAAACGGAGGATAGTGCAGGCGTGTAACGAAATTACAGACGCACAATGTCAGCCACTCATTCTGTCATCGATAGGTGCAATGCATGTCTCCAAGCTGGAGGCCATCATTTTGAACAAAACGTTTAATAATTAAATTTTTATTATTAAAAAGCAATAAAGAGGATAAATCTAAATTATTTCGAAATTATTCATTCCTAACAGTTCATAACTTCAGAAGTCAATGTCTCGTGAAAGGAAAGTTTACGAGCATATTTCCAGAGGAAAATTTTTCTTGCTTTGAGGTCCTAAATACATCTTTCAAGTTTGGCCATTTAATCCTCGAGCACCCTGTATATTTGCATTTATATTTGCAATATTTTACAATTATTTGTTTTGCATTATCTTGTGTTACACAAATTTGAATGTTTTAAGAATTGATTGCATTTTAAATTGGTTAAATTTATTGCAAGAATTAAAAAGTATTAGATCCGTCCTTTTTAAAAAAGAAGTATATTACTTTTTAAGGTGGCTCCTGCACGAAGAAGCGGTTAGTATGGGTGCTCTGGTAGGGCCCCTTTGATTTTTATAAATTTATATAACTCTTCATAAAAAAATATTACTTAATGCATTATTGATCAAATACGTTAATATACTAGGTTATATATGCACATTTAAAGACATATTAAAAAATGTGTGATATTGTCAAGTCTCAAAGAGCTGTCAAATTTCCTCGAAACATTGTATCTTTTGACTTTACTAATAAGCAAGGTTGGGAACGTTACCTTAAAAAAATAACGCGTTACCGGTACCGTTACTTTTTGTAAAAAGTAACTCGTTACCGTTACTCGTTACTGATTTTAAAAAGTAACGCGTTACCGTTACTTAGAAAGTAACGATTCGTTACTTTTTTCGTTACTTTGTTGAAATGCTAAAGTAAGATGTTAGATTATAAAATTACATTATTATTATTTAATAGTCAATATTAAACCTTAAAACTTTAAACTAGTTTCTGCATAGCAAGTCATCGAGCATACAGGAGCTCGATTCTTGAATTTGTTCGAAGGAGAAACATATGCGAAAATTCTGCTCTTACAGAAAAGTTGCAAGTTGATTGGATATACGCGTGGCTTTTGACCAATCGACTTTCAACTTTTCTGTCAGAGCAGAATTTTCGTATACGTTTCTTCTTCGAATGAATTCAAGAATCAGGCCCCAGAATCGAGACATCGATAAACGCTTACAGCGCATTCTCATGTGACATTGACTTCCAGCGCCCAATATCGGAATATTTTTGTCCAATCAAGAATAGTGCGCGCGACCAGCTCACGATCTATTGAACAGATATAAAAGATGATAGGGAACTAAAGTAACGATAAAAGTAACGGCTGAATTCGTTACTGTTACTGTAAAAATGTAACGACGTTACAAGTAACGTGTTACTTCCCAACCCTGCTAATAAGTATAGTATATGTTTGCTGAGGTCGGTGACCTCATATACTTTATAACGCATTTGAATCCTTGTGACATTTATTATGTTCATCTCGTTTTATGTTAAGATCTACTTTTTCTATAAAATAATATTAACCCTCAAAGTGCTCCTGCGAGCAATCGGCCTATACCCAGGTAGAACATAAAACTCATAATGACATCACTTAAAAGTCATTTTGGAAAAATCATAATGATCTCATTCGATACATTTTTGGCTATGTTATGGTGACCTATTTATGCTATCATAGTGACTTTAATATGTCCTCCAAAAAGAAGAATATTATCTCAAATTAATTGATACACGAAATTTATTTGCATTATACATATTATTAGCGAGTATACATATTATTATTATTATAAATAACTAATAATAAACATTATTGCACACAAAATGTAGTACTTTAAGAGATCATGTGTTAATAATGTAAAAATTAAAATAAAATATTTATTTTTAGTGGGAAAGCAACTTAAGAAAACTGCGCGTGCATAACAGAAAATGATTTAAAAAAAATAGAAGTAGTTCAAAATAGAAATTCTGACAGTCATATTAGAATAATGTAAGTACATCATGTTAATATAAAAATTAACAAATTCTTCTATAATTATCTATTTTAACTCTCTTTTAACTATAACGTAAAAGTACTAATGTTTGAATATGTACTTAAAATCTATGATTCTTTGTGTCCTCTTTAAATCATTTTTCAATCATTTTTGTTTGGGTAACTTTTAAGTGATGAATTAAGTCATGATGACGTCATTATGAGTTTTATGTTCTACCTGGGTAACCCCTATCCCAGTGAACACCAAGTAATAGTTACATAATACTACAGTTACATAATATCAATATTACAATTTCCTACTTAACAATGTAAATATAATATAACATGGGTGTTATATTACATTTATCTTATTGAGTAGGATATTAAAATATTGATGTTATGTAACTATTACTTGGTGTTTACTGGAATGTTAAAAAATACAACTTTAATATTTTTTTTATTTCATCGGTGACCGGGTCTGAAATTTTGCGTACTGATAGATAAAATTTACAACTACAATATACTTAAATTTCAATTTCTTCTACTTTTGGTCGGTTTATGCAGGAGCCACCTTAGTACATCGAAATATGTATAAATTATTACGTCAGACGTTTCAATCACACAAAGTGTGATCCTTCTCGATGACAAATGTACAATGAACGTTGAATTTAGCGCAATAATTAGATTAAATAATTTAGCGAAAAGTGTAAATTAGGAATATTTCTGATATATGCAATCTCTTGAAAATTTAATCGACTAGTATCTTGTAACATTCGAGTAAATTACAAAATGTTATATCAGTTGTAGTACAGAAGAGGGATGCGGACGCAGATGGTTTGGTTTGACCGTCTTGTCAATGTTCGTTCCTTGCTTGTGGATTTATCCTCCTCTTAAAGCTGTACATTGGTGCGGAATATCATGCGGAATGTGCGGCGGACGTCATCATCCTATGGAATAGTTGAAAGAATCCTTTGATGAGATCTCTGCTGGTTTAAGCAATTTCTCCACGTATAATGCAGTTGCCAATGTGACTGCATTGTACAATGTAGAGAAGTTGCCCGCATATAAATGTCACAATTTGAGTATGGGGCGCCAAAAGTATAACAGAAATAAACAGTTTCCAGTGCATGCACTTCTCCATCAAATCTAAGAAAATCTTTAATAAAAAGAAGAAAAAATTGGTCAAAAAGAAAAGAGAGAGCCCAATTTATATAAATGTATAAACATCCTGTACTAAAATGGATCTTTTCTGTTTGAACTCTTTTTTGTGCACATTCACATATAATCCAAATATATTTCCATACATTTTGTATATTTTATTAAAGCAAAGTTCATTATTTAATCTCATGTTACATATACATACATTGGACAATTTTGGGTAAAAATGACTAGGACTTTATATAGTTTGAATAATCATAAATTTGTTGAAATAAGTAAATGGACTCGGATCTAATTGTAAGTGTGATATACTTGGTTTGAGTCCATTAACTTATTTCGACAGAATCATGATTGTTGTGAGAGCTTCTGTGAGTCAACACAAAAAATTTTCTATTCTCAGTTTGAATGATGTTTGTTTTATATATCTATGATATTTAATGATACTCAGTCACTTTATTTATTTTTCCATTAGATATCAATGATTTATGATATCTAATAAGAAATAAAAAGAGAATAACTAGAGAAATAAATGAGGTAACTGAGAGTGTGTGTCTCAATGGGATTATCAGTGCAGAGAACCAACGTGGATTATCAATGTAAAGATGTATCGTGAACTGTCAGATCTGTTTTAAGTTGCCAAACAAATAAGCCAATTTTTTCTTTAGAAAATTAGCTTACTGATTTAAATCTGACAATACATTATCTTCATATTTCTACATAAATGTGTGTTTACTTTATTAATTGTCTCTAGCGAAATAAGTTTGTCAATTGTTTTTTATACTGTTTCTTTAAATTAGCAGTAACAGTACGAAACAACAAAAGTGGACAAGCTCGATTTCGCTATTTCGCTATTTCGCCATTTCAAACATCTAGCGCACATATACCCGACATATTGATTATGAAAATAACAATAAATTAATATTTTATTTAGAAAACTTTAGAATTATACTTGTTTAAAAATACCCTTAAATATAGTATAAAGAAAAAATGAATAAAAGAAAAATAAAAGGTTACTACTATCAAATAGCAACACATTTAGCAATGTATTGATAGTAGTAATCTTTACTTTTCTTTTTTGATACTTCCACAATGTTTTGTTTTGAATAATATATTTTAATGACGTCATTAGTGGTAATATGCTTAACTTACTCTGTCTTAATAAAAAATATACAATGTATGTGTATGTGCATGTGTGTATTTATGTGTCTGTATGGATGGGGAAATGAGAGTACAAAAGTGTATGTGCGCGTTCGCGTGTGCGTGTGCGTGCGTACGTGTGTGTGTAGAGTGGGTGGGTGGGTGGGTGTGGGTGGGTGATAAATATAGTATTTTAAAAACTAAAGAAGTTTCATATATTTGAGATAATTTCATGCAATTATTTAAAAATTATTTAGAAAATTTTAATTAAGTCACATGCTTATCAAAGTTACTGACAACATAAAAATACATCAATTAATTATCAAGAAACATTGACTTCGAAAGTTTTATTGGAAAAGTTGAAAATATGCGATTATTGGCTATGATATTAACTTGAGTGCAAATTATAATTATATAATTACTTGAGAATTATATAAATGTTAAATTTATATTTCGATTATATACAGGGTGAGTCAATTAAAGTGTAACAGACGTATATCTCAGAAATGAAGCATTTGGGAGAAAAATGTTTCAGACGAAAGTTGTATGGTTTCAAGGGAGCTATAAGATGGTGCCATTGGTTTGACCTTGAAGAATCATTAGAAGGTTACATGAAGGTCACCTTAAATTTTTTAAATAGAACACCCTATATATTTTTGCATATTCTTGTAACTTACCTCGAGAGCTTTCCAAAACACTGTAATAAAATATTTTTTATCAAGAACTTTTTGAGTTGTAAACTTGATGGTTCCAATATTTTAACATAAATTATAAAATATTCATTTTTTGATTATTTTTTCTTAATAGTTTTTATGCACAGAATAATGTCGGCTGTTGTGGGTGCAGTTCCGATCCGCGCAATCCGATCGCACAACCTCCACGTGATACTGTTACTTTCAAGCTTTGTAACTCAAGAAGTACTTTACGAAAATACATTTCATTATAGTGTTTTGGAAAGCTCTCGAGGTAAGCTACAAGAATATGCAAAAATATATAGGGTGTTTTATTTTGAAAATTTAAGGTGACCTTCATGTAACCTTCTAGCGACTCTTCAAGGTCAAACCAATGGCACCGTCTTATGGCGCCCTTGAAACCATACAACTTTTGTCTCATGTTAATTTGCAATATTTTTACATTATAAAAAATTAATGTACTTTTAAACGTGTGTAAAAAGCAACATTCTACAAATAAATTAATTGACTCATAACAAGTAACAAATTTAATTCTACCAGAATTGATGTATAATTTAATTAGAAGAAATTTGAACGTTTTTCGCTATAAATTCCTTGTAATTAAATTGTTGCCAATTCTGGACGAATTACTTGTCCGTTATTTATTGGCAAAGATAATGATTATTATTTACAATTTATTTATGTTAGTAATTTTATTTGTACGTATAGCAGAGTTTAAGTAGTCATGTTTTAAGAATATTTGTAAATAAATTTTTTACAATTTTGCAGCAGTTATTTTTTAATATTATTGCTTTAAAGAAAACTATTAGAATGTTTAATTCTAAATTGTTAAAGACTGGGAACTAGTAGCTATATGAATAAATGACAAAATGTATGTAGATCGCATTACAATTTGCATTTCTCGCAGCCATACTTGTGCTCTGTTTAAACAATGAAAAATAGTAATATAAATATTGCCAAGTTAAAGATTAAATAAGTTTCAGTATACGTATATTATTAGTCATTGGAATATTTTTGAACTGTTATTAATATTTAATTAATCTTTTGATTTTGAAATTAATATATTAATTTTCATAGTTTCTAAGTTTTTTATATTACTATATTATCATGACTTAAAAAAGAAAATTCCGGAAACTCCACTAAAGATACTATTTTTATTATCTAAATTTTATAAAACTGAGTGTCCTAACATCTATTATAATGAGGTTATGATTTTTTACATTCTAGATATACTTTGAATAGCAATTTGTTGAAATTCTTATCAATAATGCAGTTCAAAGTTACTTAAAGGTTTAGCACAAGTTCATCAATTAGCATAAATACATCAATCTGATAAAAGGGGAAATAATATGCCTACAGAACTTTATAAAATGTCTAAATCGTAAAAATGTTCACTCTTAGAAAGCAGTGTTAATTCCTTTCAAAAAGTAAAATTAGTTGCAACAAAATGGAATAAGATATGTTAGCAATATAGTTGCCTTTGTACGAAACATATGTCACCACAAGTGCGTAAAATAATAATGATCGTACTTATTTTTCACAAACATGTTTCTACATCAACATTTTTTCTCTAACACAACTATCAATTTTTTAGCAAGATATAAAACATCTCATGCAGTATTTACTTTGCTTTAATGTTTTTACATGTAAAAGCCACTTTAGCATTATTTATTTTAATATTTAAATCCATAGTATTTATTGCTTTGTAGTTTAATAAATATATATTTTGTATTTACTACTTATTTATACTACACTACACAAATATATAAACAATCTTTCTGTAAATTAATAAAATATTTTATTACATAATAAATAGGGCCCGGATGTTCGGGCGATTTCTCGGCTCGCGCACGGAGCACCGCTGCATGCACCCGACCGGGTGCACGCTGAAGTGAGATAGCAATATTTCTTGAGGAGACCCGACGCCCGCCAACCGATCTATCCGAATTGACGAGCGCGCAACTTGACGATCGAGATGAAAATCCTTCTGTTCTCTCTTTGCATTCAGCAAATTGCACGCTAGCCGATCGTCAAGTTGCGCGCTCGTCAATTCGGATAGATCGGTTGGCGGGCGTCGGGTCTCCTCAAGAAATATTGCTATCTCACTTCAGCATGCACCCGACTCACTCGTAAGCAGCGGTGCTCCGTGTGCGAGCCGAGAAATCACCCGAACATCTGGACCCTAATAATAAGTTTCAAACATAACATTGTATCATTATTATGCAAGATTAATATTTGGACACTTCATAAGATACTTTAACACGTGGAAATTTGTTTTTTGTAATATTACTTTCTTATTAATGCATGTTGAATACAAGAGAAATTTATTTATACATGAATTAACAAATATTAATGCTTTACATTACAATTATATACGTAGTGTTGCTAAGATACTTTGACAAAAGCATGATGACGTCAGATTCACCATTGGATACGTAAAATTAGATTAAACATATCACGTTACAACACCTAACTACTCTAATTATCCTTATACAGGGTGTCTTTTTAATTTTAACAGGTAAATATTTTTTAAATATGCAATTTCACAAAAAACTTTTAAAATAAAAGTTGTACGGTCTAGAGAGGGACATAAGATGGTGCCATTAATTTGATCTTGAATAGTTGCTTGAAGGTTACGTGAAGGTCACCTTCAATTTTTTTGACGGAACTCACTATTGTTTATTATATTTTCATATATAAAACCACTGTATTTATTATCTTATTCTACTAACTAATATGAATAACTTTTGTCTGAAACATTTTTTGATTTGCTTAATACTTTTTGAGATAATCAAAAGAAAATTTATAACTTTTTCAATATTTAGCTTACGATATCTCGATAACTGTTTGTTGGAGGAAAAAGTAGTACAGTACTCTTTTACTTGATTTGGTCTCAGGAATGTATTGTTGAAATAGTGTTCCAATTATTGAAAATTTTTGTGTATTGTAACATACGTGACCGTCAAGCAACTATTCAAGGTAAAATTAATGACACCATCTTATGTCCCCCTCTAGATCGTACAACTTCTATTTAAAAAAATTTTTTTTTGTGAAATTGCGTATTTCCGAAATATTTGTCTGTTAAGTTTAAAAAGACACCCTGTATTTTCACGGTTTTTTGTTACATTTTCGAGAGTCACAATTGTTATTTGT